CCTAGCTATGAATTTGATAGGTGAGACTCGCTACCTGTCTGCCTGAGCTTCCTGGTGCAGCTGCATGTATCTGTTGATGACTCCGGTGACGATTTCTTTTCCATTGTCCTGTATCCAATTGCCAGGTTCAGGCCTACCTGACGTGTTGCAAACTGCGTTCTGCCTACCTGATTGCGGTGAAGCAGGAACACTCACGGGCCACCACCCTTGTGCAGCAGGTGCAGCAGGCTGCCAAGAGCAGCGGGGATGCGGTCGTGCAGGACATCTGTGCCCAGTGGCTTCTGACGAGCCGCTCCCGCAGTTCTCATGGCTCAGGCTCCAGAAAGTGACGCTGGGCAGCGGGGCTAGAAAAACGTGGCCTGAGCATTCTGATGACGGGAGCCATTCCCACTGTGGAGTGGGGTTCATCTGGCTCTGCCCCGGGTCGGAAAGAGCTGGGTTGGACCCTTCCTTGCCTGCTTGGGCAAGGACAGGACCTTTCACGCAAGTGCCATGTTTCTGTACAGTTGTGGACTTTGTATGTGTTTATCTGGAGATGGCCAGTTCTTTCTACCTCAGAGTGAGCGTGTGCACACCACGCACACCTGTGCATGCTCCTGCACACTCATGTTTACGCCCCCAGCATTCTCTGAACAACTAACACTCTCCTCCCAAGAAATGAGGCACTTTACTTTAGACTCCTGCCTGTCTTAAAACCTTCCCTGCGTTTTGGTTCTTGACCCGGGTTGTCCTGTTTGTACACAGCCCCTTCTGGGTGGGCACACCTAGGTAGCTCTCTTAGCTAGGGGGAGTTGACAGAGAACTGGAGAGCAACACCGAAAGGACCACTTGGTTTTCCTTCCCAAAATCCAGAGATGGCTGTGGGACAAGTGCTGTCTCTGGAATGAAACTGCTTTCCAGGCGTCTCGCATAAGCACAAGGAGTTGACAGGAGGCTTTGGAAGGTAGAAGGAGTAGAAGGCTTTCCAGATACCAGCATCGGATGCTGTGGCTGACACGCAGGCAGGAGAGGTCCCTACCACGTTCATCCGGGGGGTGAGGAGAGGAGGGCACTCCAAACAGGAATGAGGTGGTGGTTTACTCAGAAGCACAGAGCTGGTGCTTGTGAATAGCCCCGCTGCCAAGATGATGGGTGAGGAGAGAGAACTAGCCAGCGTCCTAGGACTGGCTAGCTGTTACCTACGTGACTTCTGCTCCTATCTGTGCCTCTTGAATTGGTTAGGAAACCACTTCCCTTCCTTCCTGCTTCAGTCTTTTGAAGACTACAGACAGCTTTGCAGACCCCTGGGTCACTGAGGCTGCTGTGTACTTCTTTTCGAGCTTAACAGTCAAGGGCTTGGCTGTGGACAGGAATCGGAATCACAGGATATTGAAGTAGAATAAGCACTTTCCTGGCAAGCGCAAGGGTCTGAGTTCAATCCCCAGTTCTGCCCAAAAAAAAAAAAAGGATATTGAATAGGTCCCACACAGTTGGTCGAAAACTAGGTGAAGTATTCCTTTAATGTGCATCAGCTTGTCTCTCCACCTGAGATGTGACAACATTTGAGAAAATGTATGTCATATCCAGTGACTTGGGCCTGCAAATGAGGGCCTGAAGAGAAGCTATGCACCCTCAGTCCCACCAGCTGGAGCTCAGCCTGTTGATGTCACCTTCAATGCTTGGACAAAGGAACTGGAAGCTGAAGCCACTATCTGGTGCTTAGAAATCCTGTGGAATTCCCTTGGAACCTAGTTTTCTAATAGTAAAATTAATAACTTATGGACATCTACCAGGTTGAAAGTGATCCTACTAGAGGAGAAAGGCTCTAAGGAGAATACCAGATGTTGGACGGATAGCCTTCCATTCCTTGAGTCAATGCACCCAGTGCCCAGGAGGACACTGTTGCCCGGCGTCCACTTACCCTTCCTTCTGAGTCTGCCCTTCTTGCACTGAACCTAAGCACTTTATACAAGTGGACCCTGAGTTTGGGACGTTAAGACCAGATTTTCCTACATTTCCCTCTAACTAGCTGAACTCTGAAGTAAGCAGCTAGTGGTTAGACTGACATAAGATGAGGCTAACTGAGCATAGTGCTGCGGTCTCCAGAACAACGACTCCAGAACAGACATGCACATTGAGGGCTGAATGTTTAACCAGGCACAAGCCACAATAAAGTGTCTCTCCCGGTATTTCTTGGCTCCCTGACTTTGCTGTCTTGCTCGGCCCCCTCCCCTCCCTTTTCCTCATGTTCTCTGTGGAAAGAAAAAGTGAGTGGAAGAATCCTCTCAATACGCCCCATGATGACTAACGGCTCTCTGGTTAGAATTTTCAAGTTTCCTATGTGTTTAGAAAGAGTTACGTACTTTTACCACCAGAAAACTTGCTTTCCTGGTTTTGTTTATTCTGACTTGGGGTTTGCGTTTTTGCTTCAGTTGGGGTGGCAATGGTGGAGACAGGTATAATAGGTTCCTAAGGTATGAGAAGGTAAGTGGAATGTCCCAGCCCTATTCCTTCCCAGAACCCACTCATGTTACCAGGCTCTAGTGTATCTGTCCAGAGCGGCTTTCTGCATAACAAGCATCAGTAATGTTCCAGGGTGGAGAGGGTACCTTGGTGATGTAAGCAGCTTCCACTGGTAGCTAGTCTAGATGGTTGCCATCTCATGGCGCAGTGTATGATGCCGCAGGGAAATTTCTTGCCCAGAATTGCTGGATCAGAGGACATCTGCATTTGGTGAACAAGGCCAGTCACCTTCCAGAGAGACCGAGAACCACCTCCCCCAGCAGCGTGGAGAGTTCCTGCTTCCCCACAATCTTGCCAAAGCCGTCGTCACATGTTGGAGATCTTTTCCAATCTGAGGAGGAAAGAAATAGAGCTCTGGAGCCTTTTTTTTTTTTTTTTTTTTGCAGAACCGGGGATTGAACTCAGGCCCTTGCGCTTGCCAGGGAAGCACTTATTCCACTGAGCCATCTCCCCGGCCCCATGGAGCCTTTTATTAATGTGATAATTTCAGAGTTCTTATGCTTCAGATAATTTTGTTTTCTTTTATTTATTTATTTTTTTCTTTTGATGGTACCAGGGATCGAACTCAGGACCTTGCACTTGCCAGGCAGGTGATAGTTTTGTGTTAGTAGATACTAGTTCTAGAGAATAATGGGTTTCATTTTGGCATTTTTGTACATGCACATCACATCCTCCAGTCACATCCACCCCCGCTAAAGCTAAAGCCATTCATCTTTTTAAAACTGCAATCCCCAGATACTCTAAAAATAAGTCGATAAAGTAGGTATTTTTAACATCAACAGAACTGTGAAATTTTGAATCCAGTTTTAAGGTCTTTGGGGAGAGCAGAACTCGCAACCGCTTGCCACTGTGTCCAGCATGTTTGCAGGATGACGCTGGCGCCCTGGCGCTAGCACTGCTGCGTTATCTCCTTTCCCCTGAAACACGAGCTCATTCAGTTTCTCATTTAAAGCAAAATGCTTTAAAAACAGTAGTTATGGGCTGGTGAGGTGGCTCAGTGGTCTAAAGCACCTACTTAGAACAAGCTTAGCAAAGCACAGGCACAGGGACCCCGGTTCAATCCCCCAGCACCACATGCCAGCCAGCCCCGCCCCCAGGTGGGCTGAGCTGGCCACACACACACACACACACACACACACACAAATAAATAAATAAATTTTAAAAAGATTAAAAAAATAAAAATAAACAGTTATGTAAAACATCTGGCCTAGACATGGCACAAATATGGGTCACAACAGAAAAAACTGGAGCACCCCATGTACATGTAGGTTAGATGAGCACTAGGAACCTGAGCCCCTGCCCAAGTTGCCAGACATCCTTGGCTGCAGCTTAGGCAAAGTAGATCAAAGGCTTTTAGACTTAACACCCTAGCAACCACATACTGGATCAGTAATCACAATAATCCCAAGGGGAAGTGGCCTTTCCTTGGCCTTCATCAGTGTAATATTGACCAGCCCTTGCCTTAAACTTCAAGTTCTGCAACACATTCATCCAACATCTGGTTACTGAATAGTTTCCCTCGGTGAAGTGCTTTCCTGCTCCTTCATTCTTCGTGCTGTCATTTCTGCTCGGAACCCTTCTTTCCCTGCCCCACAACCTCACCATTCAGGCTACCATAATTGAAACTCTGCCTTCCAGCAAATAAGAGTATCATCTCTACAAATCATGTGCTTCTCTGGCTGCACTCTTCATTCTTCAAGGCTCTGCCTTTTTTATTTTTAAACCAGGAATCAAACCCAGGACTCTGGGCTTGCCAGGCAAGCGCTCTGCCACTAATCTATATCCCTGGCCCACCATTCTGTCTTAACACAAGTACTCTCTAAGCCCATAGCTTCAGAAATCATCTTCACAGGCTGAGCTCTAGATCAGATTTATCCCCTGAACTCTTTCTCCTGGAAATTACCTGCATGGCTAAGCTACCACTAAAATATTAGCAAGTACGAATAGAATGCACCATGTTCCACCCACAGATCTGCGTTCCTTCAGGAGTAGTAGTATTCGTATTGCCGCTCTCGTGCATGCCGCCTGTGTTAGAAATATCTGTGCTGCTATTTAAAAGACTAAAGATCACCAAGAAAACAGGGTGGAAAATAAAAGCATTGAAGGCTTGCATTGTTATCTCATTGGTGTGAATGAAAGGACATGTACATTTTTAAAGTTTCTGGCAAGAATCACAAGAAACCTTGCGCCATGGTTATATTTTGCAAATGAGGTTAGTGGAGAATGAGGAGGGAGATGTTTGTGTTGTATTTTGTGTGTTATAGACTTTGTATTTCTGCAGCATGTGCATTTACCAACTTTGTGCACATACTAAAGAATGTGTGTGTGTGTGTGTGAATTAGTAACAATTTTACATCCACTCCCCCCAAAAAAAATTATCTAGACTGTAAAATTGTGTATGTAAAATTGTGTATATGTTTTGTATGAAGTCAGGGAGACAAAGAACGAATATTCAGAGTCCTCTCTTGCTACAAGGGTGTGGTCCTGGGGGAATCACTTTATGTCTCTGAGGCTTAGTTCCCTCAACTGAAAAGTGAGGATAAAAACTCTTACCTTGGAAGGGAGCTAATCAATATGAAGTGCTTAGAGTATGCCCTGGAGCTTGGAAGCCTCCAAGGATGTCAAGTATTCTTAGATCGTTCTCCACTCCACTGTCACCATTTGGTACACACATGCCAACTCTACAGTACCTCATGTCCCACTTTCTAAGGGCATTTTGTTCAAAACCTTTTGTTTTTCTGGCTCCCACTTCTTGCTCTTCCCCTCCTTCTCTCTCCACTAAATGTGGGTCCTCAAACTTTTAACCCTTGTATGTCTTAACACTCTTGTGTGCCCTCTTTCCACCAGTTTTATGTGTCCTTAGGTCACTTCCTAGGCCATACCCTCCCAGGAGGCCAGTACCATCTCTTTCTCACCTACAAATTATGCATTATTGGTGTGCCAAATCAGAAATAATTGAAACATTGTGAAGGTCTTTGCTTAAGCCTATTTTTCCAGCACCAGACCACAAGCTTTCAGAGGCCAAAGCACTATATTTTATTCCTATTCATAAATTTCTGGCCATGACTGACTCTCAGTAAACTGGCTGAACTATTAAATGGAACTGAGCCCCTCTGAAAAGCTTATTGAAGAGATCACCCAATATAGAAGCAATTTCATTGGCGACAAAATATTACTTGTGTACAAAATGGGCAAGAAGCAACATACGTGTCTAAACAAAGGCTGAAAAGACAGTTTTTATCTCTATTATTGGTATTTTAAGAATCACAGAGCTGAGAGGAATATCCACTACTGTAGTTTCACAGTTTAGCAGAGACATTAAGTCTTAAGAATAGAAACACAGCTCCATAGAATAGACTACATGTCTGATCTTATTTGTTTCATTTGCTTATTTATTCAAATAATACTCACTGGGGCCAGGGAGATGGCTCAGTGGAATAAGCGCTTCCCTGGCAAGTGCAAGGGCCTGAGTTCAATCCCTGATTCTGCCAAATAAATAAATAATAATACTAAGGTTGTATTGTACTGCATACAGGAGATATGAAGATGGTCAAATACATGAGGCTCCTGAAGCTCACAGAACAGTATCATATACAGAGCACTTCCTATGTTTTGTTTTGGGTTTTTTTTGGGGGGAGCAGGTACTAGGAATCAAACTCAGGACCTCATGATTGCCAGGCAGGTGCTATACCGCCTGAGTTACATCCCCAGCACATTGCTGTATGCTTGTATTTGAAATGTGATAGTTACTTGGTGTGGCAGAGAAGCAGGCAGAAGGAAGAAGGGAAAGGGGCTTTATTTCCTTTGAGGACATGGAAGAGAACATAGGGAAGGATGAGGAATTCTCCTGACTAGACAAAGGGAGGCTGAGGCTTTTATGGCCTTTTCTCAGGGGAGGGATTTGAAGAGGATGTTTAGATATACCTGCGAAACTGATTGGGGGTCTTCCCTAAGGTGGCAGGAAGAGTGAAAGTAAATTATGTCCTGAGTTGAGTTGGAGAAGAAGTGGGGGGTTGTCTTAGGAGATGGGCGTTGTTTTAAGGACCTCAGCCATATTAGATGACCACCATGATGATGTTAGCAATTCATACTAGGGCCTGAACCTATCAAAATGTCACATGAGACAAAGCCAGGGTGCCAATAAGATCTCCTGGGTGGAGCCCTGTATACAAACCTGAGGGAGCCCAGGAAAGGCTGTGATGCCCAGCATGTAAGGATAGCAGTCCTATTTCATCCATAATTCCACTTTGCACCTTTCCTGTTATCGACAGCCCACTGCCATTTGAAAATAAGAAGTGGAGGGCTGGGGAGATAGCTTGGCAGTCTAAGCTCCTGCCTGGCAAGCTCAAAGACCCAGGTTCGATTCCCAGTACCACAGCAGTGCCAGCCTCAAAACCCCAGGCATGCCATGGTGGCCACCAAAAGCAGGTGTGGTGGTGCTCACCTGTAATCCCAGCATTGGGGAGGCTGAGACAGGAGGATCACTATGAGTCCATGCTACATAGCAAGACCCTATAACAAAAAAAGAAAAAAGGAAGAAAAGAAAAGAAGTGGATAATTCAATACATAAATAATTAAACAAATTTCAATTGTGTGCCATTCTGAGTCACACAGTGAAGTCCTAGGCCCCCCTGCTCCATCCTCTCTGGGACACAAATCA